AAGAATAGACACAACAGACCGTTTATTCATTTTTCACCCAATGGCCTCGTTTTAGTGTCAAATACTTACTCGTATTTTGTGTTTAGTTGGGTAACGGCTGGAAAAACATGGGAATATAATCTTTATCTGACCCTGACATGCTAAAATAAGTTGACATGGAAACGAGGCAATTGGATAAAAGAGAATAATCGGCAAGGTCTATTGAAATACGTTACGAGTAAATGACATTTTTCACAGTTTCTATTGCTATTCTTATGACTGGATTTCTATTCCCATTCTATTTCATATCTATCAACCAAACAATTAACCGAGATTCATTCCAACATACGGCATTCCAAATATTGAAATGATCCAACCTCGTACCTTTTCTCCCAAAAGGAAAGACCCTGGGTACGAGGTTGGAAACGATCATCCTTCCAGAGCCCGCTCGTATCTAGTTATTTTCTCAAATCTTATAATTGAGTACTGGGACTCTCTACTGAGAACTGGGACTTTAACTGGTCTGGTAGGAGAACTAATACTAAGCCAGAGGCGTAGCCAGGGCGGGAACAGGGCGCCTGGTCTCCCCCCTGGTAAAATTTTATACCCCTGAGAAAATTCATTCTATAAAAATAAGTGAAGCCTGGCCCTACCACGTTTTTTGCTCCCCCCCCCCAGGCCAGAAATCCTTGCTCTGTCCTAGGAAGTTGAAACCTACGACAACCACGGTAGGTTGAAATGCCGGCTAGTCAGCCCTAAGACTTGTACAAAGCAAACTTCCAGTCAGCTTTTTTATACGACTTCCCAAACAGCACTTATAAATTTATTTCTTCAGAAATCTTGTAAGGATCATCGAGAATTTTCTCAGTTTTCTGAAGTTTTGAAATGAAGGGACAACATCAGGTTAACTTTTAACCCAGGGTTAGCGCTATTCCAGCCTTGAACAGCCGGCCCCAGGACTTCTGCTAGATGAAAGATAACGAAAATTAAGTATTCGTCTGCAATGTCCTAATGAAATAGTCTCACAACCATCAGAAAATAATATATATTGAAAAAATACTACAATATTTCATTTTAAGACCATTGGAAACCCTTTCTATATTAGTTAAACGCTATGCAGGTTCATTTTTTGTCCGAAATATATATCTTTTCGGCTGTGGCGGGAAAAACTAAAACGCGAAAAAAACGAAGAAAACTCAATTAGCTTCGATATTTACCTCCTCTGCAAGTAGAAGCTCAAGAGTCTCTTCCCTCACGCCATATTTCAGCAGGTTTTCGCGTAAAATTGAATCCATATCTTTACAAATACTTTGTTTTAACTGCCTTGAAATTTTTTTGTTCTGCTCTGTCGAAATACCAGCGAGAAAGAAAGACAACAGATTTACTGGTAACCAGTATACTGCTGGGTCACGTGATCCGTGACGTCAAACATTCTACTTAGTTATCCCCGCTTAGGACGAATATTTCTGCTTAATTTCTATATTTGATAAGCTGCAATTACACAATCGACTACTAACCCTCCCACCCATAGACAAAGGGTGAAATCCAAGTTCAAGTTCTTAGCGCGAACAACAAGTCGTTGGCGCGAACTTGCACAGAGTACAACATGATATATCGTTGTAACTTATGCGTTCACTTTACTTGTGAAACTCTACGTTCATTGTTATGCCATCTTGGTCGTGTACACAAAAATGATAATGGTTTTCATGTACTCTGTGGAATAGGTGGGTGTGCCAGAACGTACACGAATTTTTTCTCGTTGAGAAACCACTTTGTTCGAAAGCACAGTGAAATACTGAACGGAGAACGCCAGGGTCTGCCAGGAGATTTGGCCCATCAAAACGATGCCGATGGATTTCAGGATGGTGCAGAGAACGATGATAACGATAATGCACTTGGTCATCAACCATTCAACTTTGAAGTAGAAGTAGAAGTGAACAGGAAGACAAACGTTTTATGCTTGATGCAGATAAAGGACGAAGGTAGAATTCCACAGACAGTGGTAGACTCAGTGGTACGTAACACTACACAGATCGTCGACAATAGCGTGGAATTGCTTAAATCTGGCTTGGAACAGTGTTTGAACAATGCTGGCCTTCGGAAGGAGGACATTCCTGGTGTGTCAGAACTATTCGACGATGCCAGTAAGATACGAAAGCCTTTCGAAGGATGCCATAACGAAGCTTCACAACTTCAGTACTACAAAAACAATTTAGGCTTGGTGGTAAGATACTAATTTAAATTTCATCATTATCATACAGAATCAACACTGCAGGATATATATCCTTATTAGCTGGATATTAAGATGAGGGCTTCGATGAGAGATCTTTATAATTATGCACAAGATTGGGTATCTGGCCAGATAGCAAATAGCTTTAGGGGCTGTTCATATGAGCCCTGCTGCTGGGCTGACCCGGCTAGCCGGGCTGGTTTTCAAGTGCCGAGATCCTGCCTCACATATTGTTTGTATATTAATTTAGGATTGGATTTATATGAGAAGCGGGCCAGCCCGGTTTGCCGGGATCTCGCTTGAGCGAGGCGAGATCCCGGCTTGCCGGGCTCATATGAATGCACAACCGGGCTAGCCCGGCAAGCCGGGCTGGAAATTTGTGTGATTCATTCCACTGATAAACAGTCTAAAATGTCCAAAACTATAGGAATTTATCGAAATTAAACCTCCTGAAGCTGTTGCCGTCGATAAAAATAAAATTTTGCCAAATAAACACGAATTTTATTTTCCCGCTAAAATATCGCGGGAAATCGTTACTATGAATAGATACGATTGCCGGGCTAGCCCGCCTCATGTGAAAGCAAAGTGGGCCAGCTCGGCAAAGTGGGCCAGCTTGGTTAATCAGGCTCATATGAACAGCCGGCCCTTAGTGATATTGTTTGTGTGTGGATCAGGCATTTTCTGGCCGGATACCCAATCTCAATGTGCATTATAATTTAACTTTAACCCATTAATGCCCATGACTCGTCCAGTAAAATCATCTGGAGTGGCATTAGACAGAATAAAAGAATAAAGCAGGGTGCATTGGCCATTAATGGGTTAAATTGTTAGGACAGTGTTTGAGTGTTTCAATCCTTTTGGGATATTTATATTAATACATTAATGCCTAAAACTATCACCTTGACAAGTAAAATTGTCTGGCATTAGACAGAGTAAATGAATAAAGTACTGTAGGATTATAAGGTCACAATTAAAATTTATGGATCAACCTGTAGTCGGACAGACTACAAAGAACAATTATTATAATGAATCCAGTAAGACCGGTATCTAACCACTTCAGGCCCATTGCAGTTACCCTTAAGAGGTACCCTAATTATACTTTCATTATTTCACTCTGTATGATGCCAGTCAAGGAGCAATTACTTGCACTCATGGCTAAATTACTGTAGTTACAGTATTAATTTTTTTTTCAAGTTTATTCTCACTGTATTATTTCGCTTTCTTTCACAATGCAGGAACCACAAAAAATTGTCCTAGGAAGGTATCACAAAAAGGTTCGAAAAGGAAGCAAGTTGGTTGATGTTGAAAAAGAAGACACAGCATATTACGTGCCAATATTGCAAAGCATACAACAACTTTTAAATGATGACTCTGTCCTTGAAGAGGTTAGAATTGTTTATGGAGTATACAGCAATTTCAATTAAGGTTGTCCCCTGAGCAAAGTGGAAAAGTCGAATACGAGCGCGAATAGCTGCTGGGAATCGCTAATAAATTCATTAATTTATTAGCAATTCGCAGCAGCCTTTCGCGCTCGTATTCAACTTTTCCGCTTTGCTCAAGGGACAACCTTAATTGAAATACCTATACATATAATTCTATTTTTGTTCATTTTGATGGATAGCAGTATATTTGCATCTGTTATGAACTTATAAAATTTATTGATATATGTAATAGATTGATCACCCTCATAATCGCAATGATGGTTTGCTGGGCGATTATTGTGATGGTGAGGAATTTCAGAACCACCCACTGTTCAGTGTGGATAGATTTGCTCTTCAAATATTACTATTTTTTGATGAGCTAGAAGTGTGCAACCCACTTGGATCACGAGCAAACACTCACAAAATAGGTGAGAATTTTCCTAATATTCTGTAATTTTTTTACTGTTATAACAAATTCCAGTTAAAGAGTTAAAAAAAAATTGTCTGGAGCTTGTTGCTGGAATTTTTTTGTCCGGATAGGTACTGTAGGAGTTGACTTCTATGAAGTTTTGAAAACAAAACAGTCTGTTGAACTTTAATCGAAGGTTAGCACTAACCCACCTTTGAACAACTGGACCTTGGTGTCATGCATACAGATTAAAATAAAAAGCAGGGTATAATATGGTACAATGCAAGGGTATAATACTAAACGGATTAAAACCTTATCTTACTTATTAAATTGGTTGTGCTCTACTCAATTCATACCTTTTTAGGCAACATTTACTACACCTTGGGAAACATTTCACCAGAACGAAGATCAAGTTTGAATGCTATTCAGCTTGTGGCAATAATAAACAGCAAGCATCTAAAGCAGTATGGCATTGACTCAATCCTTGAGGTTATCATGGATGATATCAGTCAACTTGAACAGGTACCCATCTTTTGTAATCTACAATACATTTAGGAATAAGTCCTTAATTTTTCAATTGATCCTCAGTTCAACTGCATTTTAAATTTATAACTAAGGATTTGTTTTCTTTTTTGCTTTACTTTTGTAGGATGGTGGTTATGCATTTGAAATAGATCGTGAATTGCGTTCATTTAGAGGAACTATTGCATATAGTTCAGGTGATAACCTTGGTTCCCAGCTTTTAGGTGGATTTAAGGAAGGATCTCAAGCATTCAGGAAATGCAGGGAGTGTATGGGACTTGCTGAGCAAATACAAACACAGGTACAGTTCTTCCAAAAACAAAGGATAGAAACAATTATTAAACAGATATTATGATTAATCAATAGCGTTTAATATCTAAATAGTTGACACATGCAGTGAAAGATCAAATTATTTTGTGGTTCAAAATTTTCTATCTGAATGAAAATCCCGTATGAAAACGATTTATCATGGGGAAAGTGCTGCCACTGAATGGTCAAATGATTACTTACTTAATTTCTCAATCATGTATTTTCCCAGCATACAATTAATTTATTAACCCATTGAGTGGCATCACTCCCCCCTTGACAAGTAGAACTCTGAAAAAAAGATAAAGTATTGCCACTTAAAGGTTAATTTATAATATGAAGGCTAGCTAAAATATTTACCTTGTGTCTCCAAATTTAACAGTTCCATGAAAGTGAGTTCACACTAAGAACGAAAGATGGATATGAAATCCAGTGTCGAAGACTCCCCCAGGCAGATCATTTCAGTATAACGTATGGACTGAATAGGAGGTCCATCCTTAATAAGTCCAGATTCTACCATGTTGTTGGAGGACTTCCACCTGATGCAATGCATGATATTTTGGAAGGAGTGCTTCAGTATCATGCAAAGGAGCTGTTAAAGTTCTACATACAAACCGAAAAAAAATTTACATTAGAAGAGCTAAATAAGAGAATTACCTCATTTGATTATGGGTATGTATTTTAGGAATTTAACCTAAATTATTATGAAGTTGCAAAAAACTATATACAGTGTGCCAGAACATCAGATAGAGGCATTTAGCCTATGAAATAGTTTTAGAATCTACCCAAAAGCACATTTCACAGTAATAGAGAAACTTAATTATAATTAAATAGGGCCCCCAGGACTTGCTAGAAATTCAAATGCCCGTAGTCGTATTCCATGTAGCCATGCAGGATGAGCAGTTGTTCAGTTTGTACTTTGTATTAATGATCCACCAGTTGTCCAGTTTGCAAATTGCGTACGGCAAAATTCAAAAATATAGTCATTATTCGTGATATAATCTCTATGCTAAGAACAAGCAACTACAAGGAACTACAACCACATGAAAAATATTCGTTGTTCGCTCGAAACGTCGAAGTTCTGCTTGTTTCTTTTGTACTTAACGTAAATATTAAATTACATTTGCAGTTCACGCTTCTTTGAAATACAGATAGTAGCGTACAGTTCCTATAAATATTATATAACTATATTTTTGGCTTTGGTAATATTTTAGAGAATAAAAAATCATTTCTCATATCGAACTATCGAAGAACCCTGGGAGGTAAAAAATTGCGCCAAAAGTCCCAAATCAAGAGAAATGTTGACTTTTTGTTACATTCAAGCGCAATAGTCAAACAGACGAACATGATATTATTTGATGTTCCTTTATAATGTCAAATGTTCATGTTTCATAATCCATGATGGATTGTGAAACATGGACATTTGACATTACAGAACATTCTTAATTAAACATGTCAAACAAAGTCTTATTTACCTTCAAGCACGATTTACTTTCCAAGCCGTGGACACGAAGCAACCAGCATATACACGTAGTGGAACGTACAAAAATGTTTTTATTTGACACCAAAATTCATCTACAGAACCAAAGAACTGAATAGATCTGCATTATAATTTAAAGATTTTGATTTCAAAAATATTTGGCAGATAACAAACGTTTTTCTGCCAATTTTTCGCTATTTCAAAAATTACGAATGACACGAGTCATTTTACCAATGCCGGAAGTTCTGCATTGCGACAAAATATCCTGGTAAAAACAAACCTACGCGAAATTCGCTGACCTAATGACATTTCGTCAAAACATTTTTCTTGAAGATTGGTTGGTTAGGTTAGGGTTAGGGCAAGGATTAGGGTTAGAGTTGTTCTTTGGAATAGGGTTAGTGATAGTTTGGAATAGGGTTAGTAACGTTTGGAATAGGATTAGTTTGGAATAGGGTTGTAAAATCGTTACTTTGTCACGCTGAGGCGAGTGAGGCCAGCGAAATAAACTTCTTCCACGAATTTTAGGGCGGGCGAATACGAAGGTTACAAAATATAGGGGTTGGGGAAAAAGCAAAAATAAAAATCGCGCAGGGGAAACATAAAGAAAGGTACCCGGACATTTTGCCGAAACACATTTTGCCGAAAGACACTTTGCCGAAAGACATTTTGCTGAACGGACATTTTGCCGACGGTCATTTTGCCGAACGGACGTTTTGCCGAACGGACATTTTGCCGAACGGACATTTTGCCGAACGGACAGTTTGCCGAAAGGACAACTTGCCGAAAATAAAGATGTTATTTCGTCAAAATGTTTGGGACTGTGACTCAATTCTCAACTGTCTAATTCTCAACCATTGTGTAAAATAACCATTATATGGTCATTAGCAGTGCATAATGGTCATTAGCAGTGTATAATGGTCGTTAGTAGTGCATAACCATAGTGACTATTGGTAGTTGTTTGTGCAGCGGATGACTCATTTGTTAGGAACGGGTTTTTACGTCAGATCGTAAACAAACAAGCGTATATAAAGACGACGTAAGCGAATTTCATTTCGAATACATTCACAGTTCTCGAGGAAATCGCATCCATGAATGATGTCGAATGATGTTATTCTTTATATCGCGAATTTTCGGTAAACTTGTCAAAAACTTGAAAGAATATAAAACGAAACTATATACTTCACTATCAAAGTTTCTGTCAACAAAATCAACAATTAATGACTTTAATCACAGAAACTTTGAACGTGTAAGCGAACATTTAAAGTTCAGAAGATATCTCTATTTTCGGCAAAATGTCCGTTCGTCAAATTGTCCGTTCGGCAAAATGTCCATTCGGCAAAATGTCCGTTCGGCAAAACGTCCGTTCGGCAAAACGTCCGTCGGCAAAATGTCCGTTCGGCAAAATGTCTTTCGGCAAAATGTCTTTCGGCAAAGTGTCTTTCGGCAAAATGTCCGGCCACCTAAAGAAATTTTCAATAGGCAAAATTATAAGTTCAAATTTCAAAAATTCTTGCAGGGGATTATATTTTAAAAACTATTATCGACACAAGCAAAATTTTTTTAAAAATTAGTACAATCTGAAAAAGTACGCCCCGGCCCCCATCACTTTTCTAACGGTCCGCCCCTAAAAACCGAAAGACGCTATTTATGCAAGAAAGTGTCTAATTTATTCAATATATATATATTGCTTCAGGTACCACAACGACTCCAACAAACCAGCGCAAATTTTGAAGACAAAACTCGTTTCCAATGACAATAACCTCAAACAACATGGTAAGGTTCAAAATACAGTACCGTAAAATACATTTATGTATACTTTTAATTTGTCAATTTTGTAGTTATTGTGGGAATACGTTTTGTATCTTTTATAGTACATAATTTCGTATGTGCCTGTATTGGTATTACATATTCCCCATCAACAAAAGCTTGACTGAAACATGTATCTGAAAATTAATGTTACAGCAAATGAGATGTGGTGCTTGGCTTTGTTTCTGCCTTTTCTAATTGGCGAATTTATCGAGGAGGATGATGATCATTGGAAAGCGTTTTGCACACTACTTCAAATTGTGCGTATTGTTTTCTCTCCACTGATCAGCAAACAGCAGATGCCTTATCTTCAAATTCTCATACAAAGCCATCATGAAAATTTTAAGACGCTGTATCCCCATGCCTCGATCATACCCAAAATGCACTACATGATCCATATGCCAAGAACTATATTGCGGTAAGGAGACGATACATCTCATTATATCAGTGTACGCGATGGGCAAAGTTTACATCGTACAGTTTGCGCAATGGGCAAATCGCGTAATTGTAAATTATAAATGTGTCTTCACTGATCTTAATTAAGACTTTGCAATATACCCATTTGTTTTTCTTTTATGTATTTGCAGTTTGGGACCCTTGGTTCGAATCTGGTGCATGAGGTATGAAGCCAAGCACTCTTACTTCAAACGTCTGGCAGTTTCATCTGGAAACTTCGTCAATTTACCATATTCGCTTGCCAAACGTCATCAGGAAGGTTTGAGTTATAGAATAAATACGCCGGAAGGAAGCCAGTCTACTTTCCTTCAAAAAGGAACCGAAATCGGACCAGGTACGGAAGCCTAATATTAAATAGGGTCTAAAGAGGGAATCCTATTCTATCTCTATCTGATATCTGGCTTTCATCTAAAGCCCCGTTTACACTACGCTCAATTTTTGGTACGGCACGGATAAAATTGGTTCCAAAAATCGTGCGGCGTACGTAGTGTAAACGGGGCTGGAATCCCAGTCATCCGTCTCAGGCCAGGGTCAAACGTCGAACTTTTCATGCGCCGAACCTAATGCAAATGAAATGAAACAAAGAACTTACAGTAGCTCATTAACGAACGGCGCATGAAAAGTTCGACGTTTGAACCTGGCCTCACTGATCCAATATCTGTTCCTATCATTGTTTTTCAATCACCCTCGGATTTTACATGTTACATAATACATGCAGTAAGACAATGTGCATTGGCTGTTTATACGTAACCGTTCATGATTGATATTTTCATATTTACAAAGATAGAATTAACTAACAATTTCCAAACCACCCTAGAAAAAGTTCTCCCCATATATATGATAATTATATTTTTTATGTTTACAGGCACGGAAACGCATGCTGGAGACTTGGCCTACTACGAACCACTGAAGGAGTCCTGTCAGTTGGTTGATGTTAACCCTCAAACTTCTGTTTTTGAGTAAGTATATATAATTACAAATAAATGTACCGAACTTAAGTCTTTGTACTTTTCAAATTACTCATCACAATTTTACTTGGTTTTCACTTGTTTTCAACCATCAAAATGACATTACGTCATTTGATCAATTTCTAAAGTTGTTCCTTTTTTGATTTTTTTTAATTAATTTGGTTAGGGTAAGAGTTGCGGTTATGCTTAGGGGTTAAAGTAGGGGTAGGGTTTGTTACATAGCGATTTAACACTACTTCCGTCTCCGAAAATGACGTCACATCAGTTTGGTAAATGAAAACAGGTGCTGACAGTATAACACTACATTATAATTTTGATACACAAGAATCAAGGGACATTAAAACTAAACTGAACTACAAAATTTACCGCCTAACAATTTTACAATGACAAATGTATCATTAATGGGTCATTCTACAAAACACTGACACACATAGGAAATAAGATATCTTCCACATAGGAAATCAAATATTTATAACGACCACCACCCTACCCTCCAGAAGTCCTAATATATTTTATAATAATCAATTGTGTTATTTCCCCGACATAAAGTTCTCTGTGTAGGTCAGCATACATAATTTATTACACTGTCCGTAAACGTCTGCAAACTTACAAGCTTTTAAACTAGGTTATTTTTGCAATCATGGTGCTGGCCGTTTCGGTTGGGCAGGTATTTTGCTTGACACCGCACAGTACATGATAGTATCCAATGTCAAACCGTAATTTTAAAAGCAGATGCAGTACATTGGATTATATTTTGGAAAGCAATACTTTCTGCAAGGTGTATTTCAAGCTAGATGGGGGTGCAGCAGTATTCACTTTTAAGAGCCATACAAAATTGTTTTGTTGATGGAAAACAAGTTTGTGGATGTATACACGGATGTTTGCAGATAGTGTTCAGTGAGGGCCCATATCTGTCAACAGACAGTGGCGTAGCCAGACCTTCATTTTTTTTTTTGGGGGGGGGGGCGAAAGAACGCCAAAGGCGTGAGACCGTCTTGGGGGAGTCCCTGTCCGCGATTTCAAGCATTTTGGGAGTGAAATATTGCACGGCAATTCCGAAGATTATAAAGTACATCGAAGACATGAATTTTCCCAGACATTTCTCCTCGGAATTAAATAAGTTGGAAAAATCACCTTGAAAAACAGGAGGGGCAGTGTCACCTTATTTCCCCTATGTGATGCCGGGGGAGAAAATCCCAATGTGATTTTGATCAGAAATGTTGCATTTAAATAATTCTAGGTTCTATGAGATCATTTCCGCATTCTCAAAATTGCCTTGCTTTTATACGATACAGAATAAGTCTGATACAGAATAAGTCTGAGAAGAAATATTTATGCTATGATAATGCATACATGTATTTAACAGTTAAATATCTAAACTAAATCCACTCTACTTGGAACCATATCTACGTTTCCTAAGTTCGAGACGTACTTTATCAGTTTCAGCTTAGAACATTTGAGAGAATGGTTTTTGTGGCGAATGGGGGGCGGTCACCCCCCCTCCCCCCCCTTTGTTACGCCACTGTCAACAGACAATGAACAAATGACTATTGTATAGTATATGTCAAGAAAATGTATTTAGGATAAGGTGACTTAATGCCACTTACATAAAGTTTTACTGTCTCCTTTTTTATCCAAGGGCAAAATGGGTCATTATTGCAGGGACAAAGTACAAATGTAATGCCATCATCCATATTGGTTTTGATGAAACGGATATGCCACATTTCTGCAAAATCCACAGAATTGCCATCGTGGAAAAAAACCTGTTGGCCATAAAATTTGTGGTTCAACCATATGAGACGGTTACGTTTGACAGTCATTTCCAGTCATATGAGGTGAGTGGGCCAGCAACAGAGAATCTGGAAATTTGCCAACATGACGATTTCAGCTGCCACATTCCAAAGCATATATGTAGGCCATATGGACGACGGGGTGGAACAAAATTTGTTTGCCCACGATATGAACTTGGCACCAACAATTAGAATCAGCCAGTGGAATTTAATATAGATTCTAAAAATATAAATAGTAATAGAGTTTATTATTAGCATGACAAAATTACTGGATGCTGATTGGTTGAGAGGAATACAATTTCATTAGTTGTACTGCAGTGCAATTAATGATCTTCCCGAAACAAACAAAATGGCGGAAAAGTATTTTAAACACAGATGTGAAATGAAATTGCCCTAGAGGAACTAGATGAAAATATGAACAAAAGCACCAAAATTTGCTTCAACAAAAGAACTAAATGAAAATATGAACAAAAGCACCAAATTTTGGTTGAATGTCTGGCAGGACTGGACTTTGGCAAGAGAATATAATGTTGACATTGAGAAGTATCCAATTTTGTCATGCTACTGTAATAATAAACAAGTATTCATGCAATGTTGCTTGTACAATTAGGGATTAATAGTACGAGTGATGCATCACTTGTACAGTAGTGATGCATCACTTGTACTATTAATCGCTAATTGTAATCGCCATCACATGATTACCTATACAAATCATTCACTGCAGTTAATTGTCAATCCAATATCTTGCAATGTAAAATGAGATGGCCAGGAAACATCTTAACCTATCTAGAATCAGCACTCTCCCTTTGATAAGTAAAATTGTCTGGTGTCAGTCAGAAAAAAAAGATAAAGTACGTATGGCCCATATCAGTGTGCATAGCCTAGTGCATTGCCACTTAAATGATGAAAATCTGATTTTGGACAGGGCAATTCCACAACCAGCTCTTGTTAATGGAATTGTTTGGGTGCAAATATCCATTTACAAAAAATAGACTGAGCATGTTATAGTTCTGACATTATACTTAACAAGTCATGTAGTTGATAGATATGTTTGCAAACATGATGAATATACCAGCTGTAACCACAGTATTTTCACCAAATGCATCAAGTGTTTGAGTTCTGTGTGCCACCATTTTATAAAATAAAATAATATTGGGGTACTGTACAAGGAAAGGAAGGTTAGCAGGGATAGATCCAGTTAGGTCTGTTGAGAGGGGGTGGGGGGAGGGATGATCATGCTTTGGTCATAGGTCATGGTTCAGAGTGTAATTGCTGACCAAGTGCATAACAAAATCATCTTGCTTTATATCATATTAACTTTTAATTTTTGACACAACCAAAAATTGATTTAACTCATTAAGCTACAGAGCTTCCCCATTGACGATTAAAATCGTCTGGCAATATTAGACAAGTAAAAAAATGTTGCTGGAACACTGGGGCACATTCCGGCCCCGGCGAAAATTTGTTCATGAAGTCATGAACTTTGATGGTGCATTCATGAACGTTCATGTAAATTCATGAACAGTTCATGCTCCGCTCATCAAATATTTTACCTATGGTTCATGAACAAGTGTTCATGAAGTGTTCTTGAATGCTATTCATGAACTGTTCATGAACAGTTGATGAATGGCCAATCAGTTCATGAACTTTTTGTTTTGAACAGAATAGTTCATGAATGTTCATGAATGTTCATTTGAATATTTCATGAACTGATTATTCATGAAAAATTCATAGAATTTACTTGATGAACATATCATGAAATTTTGATGAATTTGTACTGATTCATGAACGTTCATGATTTCGCTTTGTGAACTACCATGAACTATTCATGAACAGTTTTAGTGGATTATAATACATCATAAATAATTCATAAAATGTATTAATTTAATGAATGTTGATGCATGTTAATGATATTAACTTTACGATCGTATATTACGACTCTGTAAAGAATTATACACTATATTCACTACTGTAGTCTGTACAGTAAATTTGTCATTTCAAATTGAGTGACATTTGAAAAAGTGCAATTTCTGAAACATTAGTTGATGCGTGGTTATAGTCAATATATAGAAAAAGCTGTCTTAAATTAAAGGTCTATACTTTTATATTATTCATTTCTACATGAATCGAACTCTGAACGTCTTCTCTGCCAATTTTATTTGATATCTAATCAGGTTTGCGCATCTTGGCCATGTAGACAGGCTGACGGCCAAGCCTCGAGCTATATACAAATACAGCTCACATTTAGTGTGGGAAGACAAATTTGCGTGCTTTTATAACGCAGCACTTCAGTTTTATTATGTTCTTCGTTGTTCTTGCCGGGTTTACTGGAGTTTGTTGGCTTGGATATGCATTTCAAGAATACAATGTTGGTAAAACTACCAGGATGGATATAGCTACGTCAGCGAAATTCCAGCAAATAGTATAGCGCAAATTAATCGCAATCAAGTAAGTTATAATAGTATATCGGATCACCGTTTTTAATACGGCCATAAATTAATATGCCCAAAACGTTTCAATAAATGCGTTATATCAAATGTTTAACAAACCTAGTGTACATATACTCGGAACTATAGGTGTCTCCTCAACCTTTAATTGCCCAGTATTGATCTTACAGTAGCTAAATTTTCTATGGTATGACAGCGCAACCCGGCGCATGTTGCAAATATTGTACGGATCGAGACAGAGTCGAAGTGATAATACTGTGATGAACTGTATATACATGCAGTATATAAGAAATCGAGTTTTGAAATCGATTAAATTTATATATCGTCGTGCATGATTTTGCCATCAACTTATTCGAATGAGGAATTATTATTGAATTAAGAATACTCGTAAAAGTGGAACGTATTTCATTTCTTATAGCATTCATAATGATTGTACACTATATACATTATTACGAGCACACATTTGACCAAGAAATGCCTAAATAAACTCATATATAATCTATACGCAAATACGCGATTTTGTTAATGGATGTATGACGAGGTTCATGCCATTTGTTGCCTTGTTTGCGAGTTTGCCCTGTGGTAAAATGCGGCATGACTGGTCGGAAGACTTAATTTGTTATTTCAGCTGTTTCGACAGTAAGTTTTAGTAAGAAATGCGTGCATGAAGATTGAAGTTATTTTTAAGTTTGCATGTCATACTGAACTGCATATATATGAACACATATAGTAAAGACAACCTTGTAATAGTTTAACTGTATACAGTATAGGTATTTGAAGTGTACCTTGTAATAGTTTAACTGTATACAGTATAGGTATTTGAAGTGTAGCTGGATTTTAAAGACTAGTTAAAATTCCTAAAATGTTGGTGAATAATTTCATCAACTTTCATGAGCCTTTTCCCAAACGATTCATAAGTGCATGGTTCGTATATTATAATTATACGATTTCATTGACAGGCCCGTTCTCATAGAGTAAAGATTATGAACTATGTTATAATATGGTTTCCAATTTTAGAAATCTAAATCAGTTCATGAACATTTCATGCCCATTGATCATGAACTGTGCCATGAAGTGTTCATGAATCACTTCATGAAAATTCATGAGGAATTCATGAAACGCCAACCATGAATTATTCATGAATTATTCGTGAATGATTCATGAAATGTTCATGATTACAAGATCATGAAGTATTCATGAACAGCAATTTTCATGAACTGTGCCATTTAATGTTCATGAGAAAATTCATGAACAGTTCATGAATATAGCTCATGATTTGCTCTTCAAAAATGCATGAACATTAGTTCATGAACTGTTCATGAACAAAAAAGTTCATGAACTTGTTATTCATGAACTGTTACTTTCATGAACTGTGCCATTTAACGTTCATGCACATTCATGAAGAGTTCATGTACTTTTGATGGAAGTTCATGAACAAAGTTCATGAATTTTTCATGAATAATTCATCAAATTTTCGCCGGGGATATGAAGTCTTGTCGGCTGAGCAGAGTACTGGCATTTGTCACATATATATATATATATATATATATATATATATATATATATATATATATATATATATATATATATATATATAGGGTTGCAACTGCCTTACACATATACTCCACGGAGTATATATGCGTGTTAAATATATAAGGCGGTTGCAACCCTCAACCCTTAAGGTTACAGGACACCCTTTTTGGCGTTTTGTGGAAAATCGCTACTGCGCTCTCAAAATCAGTCCGATTTTCATCAAATTTTCACCAAATGTGAGCCAGTGCATGCAAAATATGATAAAGTTGTAAAATTGACAAACAATAAAATAATGTAAGAATTATTCAGGAAAATCTTAAGTCGCGGAAGCTTTACGCTTTTGAGTTGTGTTCCTGCTGGTTTTACGATATATTTATGAAAATACCATTTTTATACAGTAAAATAGTTGTTCTAAAAAATTGTGTTCGGAAATTTTTGTTTATTTCGTTATATACTTCTGAATCGTTTGTGTGAATTGCCCCTTATTATTAAAATATACAAAATTAGAACAAAGCCGAACACAATTTTGAAACTAACGTCTTTAGCTATGTCCTGTGAAAATTGAGAGAAATTCGTTAAAACCCGCAGGAGCGCAACTCGTTTAAAAATCAGTAATTGCCGTAAAATTCTTCGGGAGAAAATTGAATTTGAATATTACATGCATTTTCAATGTTTTTCTTATTGCAAGCGAAATGTATTTTATTAAATAACTCTGCAAGTTTTCAACATTTTTCGTCCAAACTTGGTCAGATAGTAGAACTAGTCTAATGCTTTGATGAAAATCAATAAAAAAATTTTAGGCAAAATTAACACTCAAATTTAAATGTGTTCTGTAACCTTAAAGAGCAGGTGCCTGTGACTCTTTCAGCAGTATAGTTTTGATTCAATCACTATATAGTGAAAAGGTTGCCGAATATCAATAAGTACAAGAAATTAAAAAAATAATTTTTCTACAACACAATGCCTACAAGCTCTTTTTAAATGTCGGAACTTAAAAGTGTCATTATAGGCACCTGCTATTTAAGTGATTTTCAAGATTGCAACTCCCTTACATATTTAACAGGC